CTGCCTTAGCCGGTTTCCTGCTTCAGCTGGCAAAGCTCACTTCCTGCAAGACATCCCCGAGGAGAAGCCCCATGGACCTACCCCCATGCAGCCCTGGGTGCTGGAGCAGCCGTGCAGAGACCCCTGCCAGTGCTGAGATGCTTATATGCTCACTGACTCAGCTTTCCTCCTGCAGTCGGCATCATAGTGTGTGTTTTGTGAGATGGAGGAGGACTTTGTGGATTGGTGTTGGACATATGGGTTAATGGGTTAATGTTGGACTTGTGGGCTTGGGCAGCACTGGGTTGGGATGTTTTCTTGATGTGTACTTAACCTTTATATAAAACTCTCTCTTATACACGAGTTTCTATGGATTTGTTTCTCTAAAGTACCTAGAGTATTCTTCCATAAGAGATGTATACTTTCCACCAAGTTTGGGCTACTTGATGTGGCTGCAAAGGTGTCCCAGACACCCTCGTCCGATCAGAAGGGATGAAACACGTGTAGCTTCTTCTATGACTCCCCCAAATGAAACTGGCTTCATGGACTCAGTAATAAATACTACCCACCTACCCCAAACCCCTCCCTTGGGTTTGCACAAAAGTTTAGTGTTTACCAGGACCCAGGATAGTGCAAATGGCTTGTACCTGACACTAGCCTAACAGTTGGTGGTTGAAACCGACCCAGAGGCGGTGCAGAAGAGAGGTCTAGCAACCTTCTGTAATGATGACAGAAAAACCCTGGGGAGCCCACCTCTATTTTGTAACACTCTCAGTCGCCATGAGTCAGAATCCACTTGACAAAAACAGGGTTTTTTGTTTGGGTCTTTTTTATTGTTTACCCCCACTGGTGGAGGTGCTTCCTGGGCAGTGGGAACGGGTTTTACCTGTGGGGTTTGCAGCTGGAGAGTGCTAGAAACCGGGTCCGCTGAGGGAGGGAGTGCCTGTGGAGTGTGGGAGACTGCATGCTACCCAGTACAAACAACAATCGCAGCCCCAAGAACCAAAACCACTGCTGATGAGCCGATGCTGACTCCCGGTGACCCAAAGGGCTTCCCAGCCTTGACAAAGGCAGACTGCTACCCTCTTCTTCAGCATCTTTCTCTCCGTGCATCTAATCTGCTGACCTTTGGCTAATGCTTTAACCAGGTCCCCACCAGAGCTCCGGCTGGGAACACCCAGGGCCTGGAACCACAGTGCTTTCCCCTAGAAACAGAACTGACCTTTCTGCCCCCATCCATGGGGCACAGCAGTGTCTCTTCAAGAAGCCGCTGCCCTGCTGGCCAGACTGCAAACCAAAGCCAGGGTCTCCAGGCGAGGGGCACTTCATTGGTATGGGCGCCATGTTTACGCAGTGGCCTTTGTAACATTGATGAATTTTGTCTAAAGGCAAGTGCAGACAAGCAAAGCGATCCGTATCTCCGGTTCCCCATTTCGCCTGACACACGTGTGCGGAGGCCCTCTCTTTGTGGCGATCCTTTCAGGGCTGATGGGAAGGAAATCGAGTGGAGTCATGAACTGCCACCCCGAACAGAAGCAGAGTAGCTAATGCAGGAAGGTTATTAACGCCCCTCCCCTTGAAGGAGATCGACCCTGGGACCTGGACATTCAGAGTCAGTAAACGATTGTTGTGCACGGATCAGCCCTGAGGTGAGAGCAAACATGTTTTTAAAGCAAATCTAAAATTGCAGTAGGGTGACCTAGTTCGGCTGTAATGATGGGAACCCTAAAGGATCCCTTTTCATGACATCTCATTGATAAAATGGGCCACACTCTGCTAGGGAAAAAATGGATACTGTGAGGAGCCAACAGGACAATGTGTGATGTGTTAATGCACAATGCCTGGGGACTCTGGGGTGTTCTGGTTAATACACTGTGGGTAATGTTTTTCCATCCTAATAATCTACATGCACTGAGTGGTGACTACCAGCCATGCTGCAAATCATGCTGTAAAGAGCTTGATTGCAGTGCTATAGTAATTCAAATGGGCCAGGCCTTCCTAGCCTCCCCGTCATACAAATGACCCGTGTGCGTGATTTCCCAGGTTACACCGTACCGACCAACTGTCCCTGCAGCAAACTGGGATGGTGGTGATGAGAAGGACGAAGCTGACAACGACAGCAGTTGAGCCCTGGACACAGCAGCCACTGTTGGAGGTATTTTGTAGGGCTTCTTACCTTATTTCATCTGCACCACCACGACAGGCAGTCGCTACAGCACTATCCTCCCTTTTTCATTTGGCACACAAGGAAACAGAAGTTTGAAAGGGTTTGTAGCCTTCAGGTCCCACACAGGACTGGAACTGCCAGAGGCCTCCACTGCCCCTCAGGAGTCTGGAGACAAAAACGAATGACGGCTCACAGCAGAGAGACAGCAGAGTGCGCACGGTCCAGGAGTTTCCAATGGTGGGGGGAGCATGTGGCATGGCATTAGGAAGGGTTTGTTACTTCCAGAAGTTTCTGAGCGGGAATAAGAACACTCCCCTATAAAGGTGGGACCAATGGGCTAGCTTGGGAGCCCTGGTGGCCCACACGGTTCAAACATTGGCAGTTCAAACACCTCTGGTGGCCCCGTGGAAGACAGACCTGGCCCACTGGCTTCCATACAGCATGCAGTCTGGAAAACCCCTCGGGGGCAGTTCTACTTTGTCATAGGAGGTCACTAAGGCTTTGGGATTGACTCAACAGTACCCAACGGCAGCCACATTTGGAGCAGGGCAGGAGAGGAAGCTGGCCCTTCCAGGTTGCCATCCAAAGTTGGGGAGCAGCCAGGCTTTCTCCTTGTTAAGGAGAGAGGCAAGACAGCTGCCCGTTCCCACCCATACCTGCAGTTCCCAGCCCGCGTGGGGTCTCTCAGGGTTTCTCTGGTGGCCGGAAACCGGGTGGAGTCCTCTTCCTGACAACCCGGAAACCTGCTTCATGAACACACCACAGAAACCGTGTTGTCTTGTCGGAAGTGCTCCTTGGCCCGTGATCCTCCCTCCCCCTCCTGGCTCTCCAGCTGCCCGGCTGGCTTTCCCGACAGCAGCGATCTTACAACGCTCCTGTGCTTTCGCGCCCTCTTTATGGTTGTCAAATTGATTTCACCACTGCGATACCTATGGCTCCCAATGAAACTTAATTAAAAATACCATTTAATCACAAAGTAACAAAGGCAAACTGGATAAACGGCATTACCACTTCGGCGCATTCTAATCCACACCGCTTCTCTCCCTCTGAATCTGCTTGGAGGAGAATTGCCTTTTCAAATCCGAATCCCCCCATCTTCCATGTGCTTGCTTCTGACAGATCTCCAAAATAAACAGTGTTTAGCGTGGCATGGATCCAAATGGAAGCCATTTGCTCAGTGCAAAAATCAGCCTTAACTAGAGCAGGGGAATAAACCCCCGTCACGTTCAAGAACACCTTCCTTGGAAACACACACACACACACACACACACAACCCCGTCATTTTCAAGAACACCTTCCTTGGAAACACACACACCCATTCCTGATGCCACGACCCATTAATGCAGTTCCTCATGTGGTGGTGACCCTCAACCATAAAATTATTTTCATTGCTATTTCATCACTGTCATTTTGCTGTTATGAATTGGGTGACCCCTGTGAAAGGGTCATTCGCCACCCCCCCCAAGGGGTCACGACCCACAGGTTGAGAACTGCTGGCCTAGAGCATCTCCTTGCTAGCATCCCT